CTCGAAAGATAATAGCTGAGCAGTAGTAGAGAGGCGCCAATAACACATAAGAGTATCCTGGATGAGTAATGTTCCATAATCGTTGAACACAGATTCTTGATATTACCTTTATAGCGACCCCCAAGAGAGGTGAAAATAATGCAATTATCAGTCTGCCTGTGTCTTTTTGTTTGAGATACGTTCTATAAAGAATATCCGAAGTAAACATTCCAGAAATAAGGGGCAAGCAAAATGGCACTATCATTTTACACAATAAACCTGTAAGCCTTGGACGCCGGCAAAACTGTCTCCCGACAATATATAATTGCAAACATATACTGGTGATGAGAAAAGTATATATTGGAATCTGCAATTCAGTGGCTGACGCATAATAAGGCTTTCCAATAACTTGAAGAGAAAAGCGATAACTTATGTCCAAACAATACGCTACAAAGCTTACCAGAATCAGCTTTTTCTTTATTCCTTTTAGCTGATACGGACGAAAAAGAAACAGGAGTGTAACAAAGATCCAGAAGTAATAGAAACTAACGGATATCGCATCAGAAATCGTTTTGATCCACTGCACACGAATTGGAATTGACGAGATGTTATAATCCTGACATTGAAGAATTGTTTTATAACTGACATAGGAGATTTGCAGGTAAACCATGGCAATTAACATAGCTGCAAGAAACGAAATCAACGCTCCAAAGCACATCGATTTACAAACTGTCTGTGAAAAGGATGGACGAAGACGTTTCCAAGCCATTTCTTCCTCCTTAACGTTCTGATCTACCCTTGTCTCCACACTGTCTTCTGGTAAGAACGCGTCTTTAACCTGGACATTAATGTTATGTGCGAAAAAGTTCGAGTTTGTAGCCTCTCTGTCGCTGTACTCTTGGTATATCAGTTCATCAACAGGCTCTTTATACCATTCTCTACCTGTGCTTAGCAGTGGATCGTAGCCAAAAGACTCTGTCGTGAATTCAGGTTCTTCTGGGTTGTAGTGTTCTGTAACGCTGCGCGTGAGGCGATACACGATCTGACCAAAAACCTCTATCAGTGTACTGGTAGCCATCCTTCCTTTGAGTGACTAATGTCTTCCACAGCAATATCACCGATCATACATCCACACTCGGATCGGAGGAGGTCCTTCCGGGTCGTAGAAAGCTGATACGCTGCACGTGTAATGAAACAGTCTTGACCAAACACCTCTAAAAGTGTACTGCTTACTATTTCACCTTCATATGAACAACATCTTCCAAAGTGATACGGTGTTGTAATCACAATTCGAACAGATTACCGAGAGATAATTGTCTTACCAAAACTGTACGGCCGCCGCATCTTCATCGTGTTAATTCTCCGCGATGAAAGCGTAAAGGTACTGTACGCTGTATTTCATGACGTCTTGACTGGTCATTAAAAATCATTAAGAAATACGAGAAATTAGAGCTCTGAATTAACCACATTCCACATATCGTGTCTGTGTGAAACTGAAAAGTCAAGATGGCAGATCGCCAGTAAAACAAGATGAAACGGAAGCCGTAATTTACTGAAAACATTTTTGAGTTATTTTTTTTTAATAACAAAAAAACGTCTATGTTAGCGTATAGAGAGTGGTATGTTGCTCGCACCAATCAGATCGTTTAGGGTGTGTACCTCGCACCAATCAGATCGCCGTATTAGGGTATGTATCTCGCGCCAGAGAGAGGTATTCAAATTTCAACGAAGCAATAGGGGATTTGGAGAGAGCGGTTCGTAAAATGGAATTATCTTTCAGAATGAGAAATGTTAGCTTTTCTGTGTTTTTAACGTGTATTTTACCGCGCTTTATGAGAAATGCGACACTACTGGACAGATGAAAGATATCAGATTACCTACGGTAAACGTGTTACTCATGCCGTGAAAATGGTGGATAGTTGTTCGAGAAAAAATGGAGTTTTGTGCATTTTAGCACGATTATGGTTATTGTTCCTTCACGACGAGAGTGAGTGGAAAAATTTTGAATCAAATATTGCTTGAGGTGTGGATGAGTAGCACCAAACATTTTGATTTTAGCAGTTCTTTAACGGCAAGCCGGCTGTGTTATAAGATTCGTGATTTGTTGAGTGTGCCGATTTTCTTTTTCTGGATTGGCTTGCTCGGTGCTATCTCTAGATGAATTTCTGATTAAAATTAACTATGGACGTTTTTTGTATGATGTCGATGCTTGGAGAAAGTGATCTTGTGGAGTCATTTGTGTTTGGCTAAGGACGAATTCAGATACCATCGTTGGCATGTTTATTTGATTTTGTTATCTAGAATGAATGATTTACGGAGGTAAGTTAATATGATGTGATCTATTAACGTCGAAAACATATCAAGTCGAAGGAACAGTTTTGGTCTCGGTTCGCAATTTTGTCAACAAAATAAACACATACCGCTTAAAAAGATGATAATACGGACCACGTGGAAAGCTGTCAATTGTTTCTCAAATGTTGCACGTGTTATGTATTTAATAGTGATACCTCGTTTACATCTACATTTTCATCTACTTTTATTACGTTGGTGAAATCTGTAGACATCACACCAACCAACTCGCGCGCAAAGTGAGAAGACTTTATGAAAGCTTGAAATTATATTACGATCGATTTCATCACGAAATGGGCCCGGAATATTCTAAAATAGTGCAAATAATCGTGAAAGCTGATCGCGGAAAAGCGATTGCGTGACGCTCGGTGAGTTGGAAGATGACATGTTATCACATACCAGACGAAAAAACTCTTTAGATTCTCAGACTACATTTTGGACCCACTCTGCAGTGGGTTAATTCGACATTTTCGTTCTTTTCCGTGTTAATACTCTTCTTTCCTTTTATAAGAATGTAGAAATCACTTACAATGTTTCAAGTAAACCACCCACCCTCCAAAAAATAAATTTTGCATGCATAGCATGCTTATGTTTCAGCCAAGTACCACCATAAGTTAACACTTAATATTTTCACCGTTTCATGTGAATTTCCAATTCGAATTCTTCTCTGAAACCCTTAATACTGTAAATAATAGTAAGAAGAGTTTCGAAATGTCAAATTTCATTTTTGCCACCGCGCAACACGTTTCATCCCCTGTCGAGGGATAAGAGCAAACTCTCCTGAAGTCTTCATTCTTCTCTACGATTGAGTTACTCACGTGAATCACAGCTGGACGATGCCGACAGTGTAAGTTTTCTTCCTCGAACCTTGCTGCTGAAATGCCTTATATGAATAACTACGATGACAGAAACTTGTTTCTAAAAAAGAGAAAATCAACAGTGAAGAAATGTAAAATGGTTTCCGTGTTTACATAG